AAGATGACTGCTGCCCCACCGCGACGCCACCGTGCCCGCTGCTGTGACGAACTCGCCGCCATGAGGTATGGTCGCCGGTGAGGGAAAGTGGACTGGGGGGGCAGCTACTATCAACGTGAAGGAGAAGGAAGGAGAAGATGGAACTTAGGGTTTTTCCCTTTTTTTTCTTTCTTTTTGTTTTAAAACCAACCCAATCCAAAAGCCCAACCTATCTAAGCCCAAGAGGAGAAAGAAATCCATTCTATCTTGAAACAAGACCCACTATACGAAGTCCGGCGAATATAACTTTAATGGAGTTTAGAGCCCGATGAATATAGATAAATTTAATTAACAATCAATAAATTTAATTAACAATCAATTTAAAATTAAATGAAAAATCTCCTGATTTGAGACTAACTAACCTGAAGGACTCGGGGCGTTACATTCTTTCTATTCGGGACGCTTTTTGGCCTTTGGTTCGATTTGCTATTGGAAATGGTCAGCGTTGTTTTGTGTGGCATGACGCTTGGTTTCTAGGGGTTCGATTTATCCGAGGTTTGGTGACCGGATTATCTGTGATGCTGCTAGCTCGTCTCGGTCGAAGGTTGCTATTTTCTATTTTCCGATGGTTCATGGCGTTGGCCTGGGGTGTTGGCTGAGCTTCGGGAGTTCGTCTTTGAGGTTTCATCTGTGCCGGTTTTAGTAGGGAGGGTGGATGTGCCCATTTGGGTTCCGGCGTCGTCGAGTCTCTTCTCAGTGTCTAGTGCGTGGGATGTGCTGCGGCCAGCTTGGTCTCCTGTTCCTTGGTTTTCTTTGGTTTGGTTTGCTGGGAACATTCTGAAGTATTCCTTTATCGCTTGGTTGGTGATACGTGATCGACTTGCTATGAGGGATCGGTTATGTCGTTGGGATTCTTCTGTTCCGGTTTCCTTTGTGTTTTGTGCTTGCATGGAGTCATGGGACCATCTATTCTTTGAGTGCCCTTTTAGTTGGGAGCTGGTATGGTCTGGTATGCTTGCTTGGGCTGGTTCTTCTCACCGGATTTCATATTGGTCTATTAAGCTTGCTTGGGTTTGTCACATTAGTGTCAGGAAGCCTGCTCGTCGTCGTGTCTGGCGCTTGGCATGGACTTCGGCTATTTCTTTATCTGGAAGGAGAGTAATGCTAGAGTTCATGTGGGTCGGGTGGGTTGGTCGTCGTCTGTCCTCCTATGGATGTTGAAAGCCGAGGTCTATTATCGTTGTACTACCTAGCTTGGGAGCTGATGTTTTAGTTCTAACCCTATGTTTATCTCGGCTTGGGATTTGTTTTCTTAAGTTACTTGTTTTGTGTTTGCCTTTTGGGTGTTGTGTCTTCATCTCGGACTGTGCGATCTTCCGTTTTTTTTAATATATTTACCTTTGCAAGAAGGAAAAAAAATTATATATATTTTTATTTCTGGTTAGTTTTTTAATACAAAACTTAAACTAAATCTAATTAAAAAATCTAATCACAGTTCAAAAAAAGTTTAACAAATTCGTATTTGAACCGATGAAACATAATTAAAAAAATTAAACGAAATCTAAATAATTCCCAATTTAGGCTCTCTCTATTTTCAACTCCATTATATTAAGTTATCTTAGTTTTTTTAATATATATGTCTGCACGGAATATATTAATTGAATCTAAATTTAATTGTCCATTCTAACATGTGATAAAAATACCTATTACTATTTCTAAAAATTGACCTTTTGAATTCAATTGTTAAATTAAAAAGAAAGTACAAATTTAATTAGTTTACTAATTTAACCCATAGATAAATTAAATTCAGAAATATATTTAATTTTCATATATTTTTATTTAGATTTAGTTTAGCGTTTAGTTGCGTGTAGGTAAATAGTTTTTTGTCTTTTTTTTTTTCCTTTAAAACTGATTTGTTTTAGGATTTTATTACTATCAATTGTTATATTTTAAAAGTGTGTCTATTGATTTTACATAGACGTCTTCTCAAGAGACAACATATAAACAAATTACTTAAAATTATTATGTTTAAAATTAGTTCGAGATTTGTATCATTTTAATAATTAAAATAGTAATATTAAATGAAAAAAAAAGTCGCAATTCAACTCCAACGTGCCAAAAAAACTCCTTTGTGAAAAAAAAATATATATGAAAATTAATTCTTGAAAAGTCGTAATTAAGTAAGAACTAGAAGGCGAGTTGGACAAGAAGAGCAGTAATGGAAGGTGGAAACGAGGGAGAGGGCTTTGGAGGCATCATAATGCAACAAGGCAGATTCTCAAGGTGGGGCCCTCTTCGTATTTACACACAAACTCAGTGGTGGGTGGCCAACTTACCATACCCCTTCCACTCCTATCCAACCACGCTCGGATGTTACTTCTATTTATTATTGCCACGTCGGCATGGTATTAAAAATAGTGAAATTTATCAATATTAAGTAACGAAAAAAAATTAGTTTCTTAAATTGAGTAGAAACTATTAAGTAAGAAAAAAATTAGTTTCTTAAGGTTGAGTCGAAAACTCCCTTCTTAGCATGGACAAATGAAAAAATATTCAATGATATTTAAGAGAATGTTTGTCATTGCCTTTAAAGAGACAAATTTTTTTATTAAATAATTATAATTATTTAGATAAACAAAATCGTAATACCAACAAAGAAAGTACCGCCGAAAATTCTCCTCCTCACCACAATCTTAACAATAATGGTGAGTAGTTACCAAAATCATAACCACAAATACAATCTTCTTCTCCTGTTGTGTGTCGGTGCTCTCTCATGAATTTGGTACAAGTTAGGCAGCAGCTGAGCTCCCCCTTTAATGCAGCTTCCACCCCCACCTAAAATTTTCCATTCACAAAGTTTTACCCTCGTTTTTCTCTCTCTGCATTTTGGGGTTTTTGTGGTTTTGAGGATTCCCAAGTCTCTATCTCCACTGGGCTGTGCTCCAATTTCAGCTTCTATTTCGTTTCTTTCAAGATTTGGGGATTCTGTTTCTCGGTCTCTCAATCCAAATCAATTAGTTGATTCATTACTCCCATCCCCATGTCTCTCAAACAAGCTTCACCACTCTGAAACCGAGCATTTAATATTTCCCTGCTCTTCAAGGTGTTGCAGCCTCTTGCTGTTTCTTGGCGACAAATGCTTGTCGGTTGCGCTGTCTACAACGCTCGCTCTCATCATAGAAAACTTTGTCCCCAAACCAAGTTAAATCAGCTGTTTTCAGCTGTCGTTTTTTGGGCTATTGGGTGTTGATTTTCCTCACAATTCTGATGCTAAATCCGAAGCAATTCAGCTAGAATTGCACTGAGAAATTACAATGTTGTATCTGCTCATCTCCTTCCTCTCCTTCCTCCTCCTCCTCCTCTCCAAGTCATTCTCTCGCAAACGCCTGCCGCCATGGGAGCCCAACATGAGCTTCTTATCTGCTTTTCTCGTCTCCTGGTTCCACAAAAGGAGCCTTCATCTGAGCCTTTTTCAAGTTCTCAATTCGCCATTGAAGAACATCCCGTGTAGCTCAAAACTAGATAAGAATGTAGAGGAGGAACTGAAAGAGGGGAGCTCCATCGGCCTCTTGGATCTACCCGAGCTGGCCCTCGAATCGATTCTGGACCGCCTTTCGCCCGCTGAGCTGTGTAAGATGGCAACTGTGTGTTCTCATCTGAGGGATGTTTGTGGAGATGACCATTTGTGGGAGAAGCGGATGAAGCAGAAATGGGGGAAGTTGATGGGTGATTCTGCTCGTCAAGAATGGCATATGCATATGCCGCATAGAAGAAAATCAAAGCCCTCAATTCCATCTCAGAAGAGGGGTTTGCTGAGTTCATATTTTGGTGGTTGGTGTTTGGTGTTGATTAGACCAAAATCAGAATATAAAAGCAAGAGCAGAAGAAGTTGTTTGCCAATTGGTTCTATCAAGGCTTGGTATCTATCCCTCGAGAGTGGCAAGCTTTGGTTCCCAGCTCAAGTGTACAATAGACAGGTAATTGGGGTTTGAGCTGATGCAGGGCTTAATAAATTAAATCTTAGGCTACTGCCAAATTTGTTTGATATTGTTTCTGTGTGTTTTGGCAGAATGGTCATGCTGGTTTCATGTTGTCTTGTTATGATGCTCAAGTTTGCTATGATTCGCAGACCGACATGTTTCGGGCGAGGTATATGCTAGAATTTTGATGAGAAACGCATATGAGAGAGGCATTGAGATGGTCATTTTTGTGTTGTGTTGAATGCTTAGATATTAAATGTATGAATTAAATTTACCCAACTAATCAGCTTAAGATTTTGAGTTGAGTTGTGGTTTGGTTTGGTGGTTTACTCATCCTTGCGGGAGGCCCATGTTCGCACCATTGCATTGTTCTTTCCTCTCCATTTATAACAAGTAAAGGGTTAAGCTTTTATTCATCCTTAACAAAGTATGTATTGATATCAGGTACCTACCTCAGGGACGGGCGATAGAGGAAGATATTGATTGGAACAGGGTGAGAGCAGCACCCATTGATATCCCTCCTCGTGTTCTTCACGTCTCCGATTGCTTAGCCGACTTGAAACCGGGGGATCATATTGAGGTTCAATGGAGAAAAAGCAAGGAATTTTCTTATGGTGTGTTTTGCCAACTCCAAATCTACTCATTTTACACTATAAAGTTCTGAGTTTTGAACTTCTTTTTATACTTTCACCTCCTGTTTTTCCTCCACAAGCATAGCCAAAAGTAATGATCTTGTTGCTAACGTTTCTTTTGTAGGCTGGTGGTTCGGGGTCGTCGCCCACTTAGAGGCATGTGATGGGAATGTGAACAACTGCCACTGTTGCTGCAATGGTTAGAGAAAATTGTTGGATCAAACCAAATTTATGTTCATTACAATTTGATTTGATTGTGTTCTGAATGGCTGGCTGATGAATGTAGTAGTGTTTGGAAGTGCTTCTATTATCATAAGCACACGTTAGAACAAATGCTTAACAACAAATCACTTTCATGTTAAAAGATAACTTCGAAGATGTTCGAAAATTCTGGGTGAGAAGTGCTTTTGAGGGTGGAGTGAAACTGAGGTGTTGATGTTTGACAGATATGGTGGCGTTGGAGTTCGCTCAGTACAGCGTCGGGTCTCGATGGAGAAGGACGGTGATAAACAGGACGAGCCACAAGGAAGAAGGCAATGAAGGAGATGGGTATTATGGAGGAGTAAGGAAACTGTACAAATCAGAGGAAATTACAAGGTGGATGTGCTTCTGGCCTAATCGAGTTTTGGAATAGAATCACTATATTCATTTACACTTTCATGGCTTCTGTTTTCTTTGTACATATTTTACTTTTTCTTAACCCTCTCCATTTTTCTCTCAAATTGTGAGTTATTTGGAGGCATTGGCATTCCTTGGAGAGACTCTCAAATTTGGAGGTTGATTCATAATTCGGGCTTCTGTTATTTTCTCATATTTCAAAGAGATTTTTTTTTTTTTTTAGTTCTGAGGGTATTTTTGGAATATTAATGGTTTCTAAGTTGTCTTTCTATTTTTATAGGTGACAATGTACTCATGTCATTTGATTTCAAATAGCTTAGATTTTGTTCTTGCTTCCCACCCATTAGAAATAAAAGATCAAATTTGAGCAAGGTTCTCTCTTTTCCCCTTGGTAAATAGTTCTCTTGTTTCTTGTTTGTGAGAGTTTTTCTAAGATTGTGTATAAATTTTAGAAATAACAAAATCAAAATTTTCTTTCTTATCCTTATTTTTCATTTTTTCCTGAAATATAAATAGAACATTATCATTCTTGATGCTTATGAATTTTTAATTTTAAAAAACTTTCATATACAATTTTAAGTAATAAGACAGTTTTACTAAATACATTTTTTTCAATTAAAAAAATTAAGAACCATTTATCAAACTTGTTTCCCTTTTTCTTTATTAAGAAAAATAAACAAGAAATAGAAACAATAAAGGAGGAGAATAACATGAATGTTACTAATGATCCTTAGCTTAAAATTTTAGTTACCACTTATCATGTGCAAAGTTTGAACTTACATTGACACATTCCGTGGTTCCTTTTTAAGAGAAAAATTTTAAATTCATCACCACTATTAAAAAATTGACAACCCTCTAATTATATTTAATGACAGTGAGAATAACCTTGAATAAACTTTTGCTTGAATAACACTTTTGCTTGAAAAACGCTCTCTAGCTATTTAGCTATTGAACACGTGTGGGAATTATGGAGTTGAACCTTGCTTCAAAAACACTCTCTAGCTATTGAACACGTGAGGATTTGCAATAAAACACATGTGGGAATTATGGAGTTGAACCTTGTTTGAAAAACACTCTCTAGCTATTGAACACGTGAGGATTAGCAATAAAGGGAGCGCGTTTTCTTTTAAATATAAGAACCGCCCAAAACTTGAAAATAAAAATACCTAAAAAAGTTATTATGACTAGACCAATGAACAATGGAAGAATTTCCTTACTAAAAGATGAGGTTTAAGGAAGCTTTGGACCAAAATTCCAATCCCTAGAAAACCACCAAAATCACATGGGAAACCCACCTTGATTATTAGCTCAAAATTTCATGGAAGGAGGAATCTAAAAAAGGGAGTGATTTATGGATGTTGGTTCTTGGTGATAAAGATGGTCTGTTTCTTTTTTTAAACTAAGTCAACTCTCTCCTTTTATTTTTAAAACTCAATAGATGGAGAATTGGTTTTTGTTGATGTAGAAATTCTTGGAGATTCTATCTCTAGAACAACACGAACTTTTTTGGGTTTACCTCGATTTCTCTCTGGTGCAATATGAAGGCCAACAATTTTTTCAAGGTTATCCAGAAGGCGCACTTGACGGATATGTGCAACAAAACCCCCTTGAAGTGAGATCTAATTATCTTGATTCTCTTCAACCGCCCAACAACTTCATCCCGGTATAAATTCCCAAGCAATCAATGAATAAGACACTATGTTTTTACGGTTTAGTTCGGTTCTTTGTAATTTTCCAACATTGTTTGGTTACTCTTTTTTCATTCTAGCCTTTATCTTTGAGCATTTCTTCCCCTTTGTACTTCCTTTCCTTGCAACTTAATTTAATTTCTTTTCATTCTACCAAGTATTCACTCCCTTCAAGCTCGAAAGCTCGAAAGACAAGAAGGTCAAGTTAAAGTAACTTAAAAGTCTAGTTAAATATTTGTCTATCATCAATGGCAATTAATTCCTCCCATTTATCTTCTGGTTTTTGAACTTTCATTATGAGTTAAGTTGGTCTTTTAATTCCTCTGTGGAGTGTATTAGTTAATTTCTTATAAAAACAACACGAAGTGGTGTAGTGCAGATAGCAGCCACCGCTACTGCTTAATTTGAGTTCATTTTTGAATTGCTCCAGTTGGAGCGGGAAGTTAGAAGACAGTTTAGGGCCCGTTTGATAACCATTTCGTTTTTTGTTTTTAAAAACATGGTTGTTTGATAACCAATTCAATTTTCTGTTTTTTTAAAAAATCATTTTGAAATTCTACGTAAATTTCAAAAAAAAAAAAATAGTTTTGAAAAACAAGTTTTCAAAATATGATTTCTTCCTCCGATACTCTTATTTTTTTTCTTTCTCATATTTATCTCAGAAAAATTTATTTCTCACTCTAAAATTTTTTTATTTCTAAATTTCTCTCTACAAACTTTATTTTCTCTCTTCAAGTTTTCATATTTTGAATATTTATTATTATTTGTCTCCCTCCAAATTTTTTTGTATTTTTGTTTTTTTTCTAACCGACCAGTTCATTTCTGTCTCTAAAAATTTAATATTTTTCCTAACTTTTTTCACTCTAAAATTTCATATTTTATAACTTTTCTGTTCGTAATCTATTTTTTCTTCTGAAAATTATATTTTATTTTCTCCTTCAATCTTCTTTCACTGTAACTTTTATTTTTCTTTGTATTTATTTATTTTCTTTAAAATTATATTTTCAATCTTGTTTTTATCTCTAAATTTGTTTCCACTATAATTTTTCTCTTTCTTTATAATTTCTTTTTTTTTATTTAACATATATTTTCCTCCCGACTTTACTTTTTTTTTCTCTAAAATTTTTCTCTTTTTGTGTTTAACTTTTCTTTCACTTTTTTTTTTCTAAATCTTTTTATTTATCTCTAAAATTTATGTTCCAAAAGTTTATTTACATTTATCTAAACTTGTATTTTCATGTCTCTACATTAGGGGGTGACAAAAATTTCCGCACGGTCAAGTCCCAAAAAATAAGAAATGCATATTCCGACCGCGTCCCCGATTCTATTTTTTAAATAATTAATATATATTTATTACACTTTTTAATACTTAAATTCTAAAAATAATTAAAAACAATAATAAACCGATAATTTTTCTCGAGAACATCTCTCGGACCCAAGAACGAGGTGAAGACGGAGACTGAAAATTTTCACGACCACGAGAATAGGGGAGAGCATCCTCATTCGCACCCACACCATTGTCATCTCTACTCTACATCAAATTTTCTAACTTTTTAAAAACAAAAAACTAAAAATGGTTACCAAACGTGTCTTGGTTTTTTGTTTTTTAAAAACAAAAAATAAAAAATGGTTATCAAATATATATGGTTTTTGTTTTTTAAAAACAGAAAACCAAAAACAAAAAATTAAAAACAATAAAAACCAAAAACCAAAAACTAAAATGATTATCGGGCCCTTAAAAAATCATTTTCATGTACAACTTTGAGCTTGAATAATAATAAGAAACAGTTACCAAACTCTCTAAACTCACTTCTCTTTTTGTTTATTGAAAAAAATAAACAAGAAAGGAGGAGCGAATTTGGACCATAGCCTAAAATTTTAGCTACCCTTCATCCTCGAAAGAGAAGAAGGTCAAGTTAAAGTAACTTAAAAGTCTAATTTAATATTTGTCTATCATTCGTTTAAATCAATGGCAATTAATTCCTCCCGTTTATCTTATTGGTTTTTGTACTTTCATTATGAGTTAAGTTGGTCTTTTAATTTTTCTGTGGAGCGCATTAGCTAATTTCTTATAAAAACAACACACGAAGTGGTGTAGTGCAGATAGTAACCACCGCTACTGCTTAATTTGAGTTCATTTTTGAATTGCTCCAGTTGGAGCTGGAAGTTAGAAGACAGTTTAAAAAATCATTTTCATGTACAACTTTTTGAGCTTCAATAATAATAAGAAACAGTTACCAAACTCACTAAACTCACTTCTCTTTTTGTTTATTGAAGAAAATAAACAAGAAAGGAGGAGCGAATTTGAACCATAGCCTAAAATTTTAGCTACCCTTGTCATGTGCAAAGTTTGTAGTTACATTGACACATCCAATGTTAGTGTGAGAGAATTTTCAAATTCTTAGTGGGAAGATATATATTTTCTAATGTAAAGTGATTAAAATGAAGTATCCAATAGTCCAAAACAGTCTCTAAGTGAAACAAGGTTTACATCTATAAACTTTTAATAAACTTTGAATTATGGAGTTGAATCTTGCTCGAGAAATACTCTCTAGATATTGAACACCTGAGGATTTGGAATAAAGAGGGGGTATTTCTTTTTAAAAATAAAGATCACCTAACACTTGAAAATGAAAACACCTGAAAAAGTTATTATTACTGCCAATTAACAATGGAAGAATTTCTTTATTAAAAGATGAGCTTTAAGGAAGCTTTGGACCAAAATTTCAACCTCTAGAAAACTACCAAAATCACATGAGAAACTGACGGTTGGAGGTAGAATTTCAGCTTACATGTGGCGGAGATGGGTGGATCTAGAACATGACACACATGGCTCATAAAGTATCGTCGCCTCGGCTCATCATATGTACCGAGCCGATTCCCTTTGATGGCTGAGCCGAACCAGTCTGCTCATAATCCCATTCATATATTACTGGTTGAATCCATTGGCTTACCTCAGCTCGATTCCATCTCCGACACACTCCACGACAGTACGCCACGTTTCACGACAACCTTAAAGAGCCATTGAGGCATTGTCAGGAATACTGTCGGGGACTTTACCTATAAATAGAACCATTCCACCCCATTTTAAGGTACGCGAACATTTGATTGTCTCTCTAGATAGTTTGGAGATTCACTGAATTTGACATCAAAGTGCTCATTCTATTTGGTAGGTCTTCTGGACAACATTCGAGGTTTATTGTCCAGCTCATCCTAGCCAATCCCACGTTCTCGAAGTTGATCACATTCTTGATTCAACACTCACATTGATTATTACCTCGAAATTTCATGGAAGGAAGAATCTAGAAAAGGGAGAAATCTATTGATGTTGGTGAAGGGATGTGATTCCCGGAGCGGAAGCGGATCTTCGTTGCTGATTTTCGGGATACAAAATTGAATTTGAAAGAAGGAAAATACAGGGGAAACCAAATACCTTTGAAGAACTTTTCTCTTACTCCTTAAATACCACTGCTCCTCTAATGAACAACCCGGTTATGGTTCGACCAATAACCGGAAGTCCCTCTCGAGCCAATGAGAGGGTGGGGCCCCTTGTTCATGTCCCGGAGTCAGCATTTAAGGGAACACACATCTACTCCCCTAAAGTCGGAGAGGAGTGAATTCCATCTTGTGAAGTTATGTTCCTAGCTCCCCACTTGGTTTCGTCCCCAAAATTATAGGAATGT